GATTTCTGCAAATGACAAAGGCTATGGGACGCAAAGAGGCTTTTCGACGAGATGTGATTTAATTTTAAGTAAATTGCTATTAGCTCTCGAGTATTTTGGCCATTGGCGATTCGTAATAAAAAGTGAAGATATAATCTACACAGTGAGTTTACTTTATTAATGATATTCGGACTCAAGGATAAATATTCCAACGCCTCTATCGCTGTGAAGAATTCGTGTGGGGTGTAAACCATTTTAAACGAATACTTTTTGGGGGGGTACATCATTTTAATAAGATACAAAGGTATATTTTTATCACTGGAAAGAGATTGAGAGCAAGATTCCTTATCGTCTTGAGAATAATCAGCCTTTATTTTTTCTTTTAAAAGGTAGCTTTCGGTATATTGTCTTGGCTCTTTTTTCAATTCCGTGAAAGCTATCCGACGAGACTCAAGAGGGGAATTGATATTATCAGAATTCATCCTTTCTGATTTCAAAGAATGGAATTTGAAAAATTTTATCATCGTAGGGATTCGTTTGGTCATAAAGAAGGAGAAGTGTCTATCCAATATAACGAAGAAGCCAGTAGTGAGCCTATCCAGCAAAACGTCGAGCTCCGCGCGATGGACAGGGTTCATCCTCAAAAGCCGCGATTCCACACATTGTGAACTATTTTGCGCATCGCTTTCACAATCATACGAGAAATCTCTCGAGCTATTAGGCGGATGACCGTTCAAAATATTTTTAATTTGTGCATGGCGTAAAAATGGTCCGTTATCATGAAAAACGGAACAAATCATTGAAAAAGTTTTCAGAAATATGGATGCCTCGGAGGCGTTAAATTTCTTAAAACAATGCAGAGCTCTTTCCGATATAAAATCCATGACGCGTATAGGGGAAAACAAGGAATTTAATTGTCGCTTGTTCATTTCTTCGTTCGAAAGTTCTTCGCGAGTTTGACGATTAGTTAGTTTGCCTTTCACGGGGTCTGGAAGTAGAAGCGCGTCGACGGCGTCGAATAAAACCCCCTGCATGGCGTGAAGAATCGCCATGTGGAGGTTGGCCGGGGCTAAACGATTCGCTCCCGTGAAAGAGGCGGCGGGATCTTCCGGAAAAGGTTTGTTATTTGGAAAGGGCGAATCCGTCGGCAGTCGGCCTACCGGATCGGAATGCGCCGTGTTGAACGGGTGGAATTCCCACGTCAAAATCCGCGCGTAGGTCCCTGCGATCGATACTAGCTGTTGGGTGGTGCACACCAGGGAGAATTGGACGGCGAGATCCAATAAATAAAGAAGATCCCGCAGGACATCCGAGGGGTCCGGGACGCCTCCACGCCGCGCATCTCCCCCGGACGCCGGCGAAGGAAAAGGCAGACCGCCTTCACGAGGAACTGCCGCCTCGATCGAGGTGAAGAGGAAAAGGGACGAGCTGTGGATAAAGAATGTCAAAATAGGAATCAAGAGCTCAATTTTGAGGCCTTGTTCGGATAGTTTTAGAAAAAATTGCCGCTTCTCGCTTTTGCTTATCGCTTCCGCCGAGGGATCCGATGAGATTCGGGCCATATTAGGAAAGGGTGAATTGGGATGTGAAATCGAACTTATCACCCTTTCCCGCGCATTTGGAGTTTGCGCCTTTGTAGTTCGTTTCAACGCGTCCTCTTCCGCGGCCTTGCGGTAAACCGAATCGACGCCCAATACAAAGCGATGAAGCCCGGAAAGCAACAAACGCATCGAAATGGGCTCTAAAGGAGGCGGCAAAACTGATTTAAACCCCTCTAAAGTTAGTTTTGAGCGCCAATTTGCTATTGCTTCGAAGGATTGACTCTCACATAATTGATCAAATGGACTTCGGAGGAAGATGATGGATTGATTCTCCGTCGCGTAAGATGGCGTAAAAGCGAATTCGTTTCCTAAAACGACGTCGATCTTAGTTTTTATTTTTTCGTATTCTGAAATTGAAATTGTCTGCACGAAATGCCCTCCAATAACTTTGTTTAACAGCGATAACACGTAAGAGAACGCCTGACGCTCTTCGCCTGAAAATGATTGATTCTGTACGTTTAAAGAACCCAAACGCCCGGGTCTGTCAACGCCTTCCGTATCGCTTTCAACATCTTCAGTAGTCTTTTGGTCATCCTTCCGCTTCGCTTGCTCTTTTTCGGGGTCCATACCGACCTCGCATAACCTTTTTAAGCTATTAAATAAGGTTGGAAGGAGCTCTTGAGTGAAGAGCATTTCAATCCAGTAATAATCCATGCAGATGAGCGATAAAATCTTTTCCCATGGTATTTTCTCAACCGACCTCGTGGGATTCACTTCAGGCGTTTTGGAATTTTGGACGAAAAAGAATTCACCCCCTGAAAGATTCGGCGCTGTGGCGTTTTTTCGAATCGTGCCGTAGATCGCTGCATTTTCAACGGAGGAGGGAAACGGTGAACCATCGCGGTCGATTCCCTTCGGGGAAGCTCGCGTGTGGGGTTCAGGTAGGAAGAGGTCCTCAGATTTCAAAAACTCACGGTGAGTCTTGAGATTTAAGCAGACCATCTCTAATGATTGGTAAATTGTCATCCCTAATTTTGCCCGGCGAACCATCGCACGCGGGCACGTCAAGGGCAAATTCCGACAACCTTCCCCCTCCCTTTCCTTCCCCTCACCAGATTGTGAGTAAGCCTTGAATAAGAAAAACGCCGCCTGATCGGCCAAAGCCCCGGCCTGGACTTTAATTTCGAAGGTGAAAAGGGCCAACAAAATCTCCTCCGCCAATTCCACCGTCCAGTAAAGCGAGGGTGCGGACTTCGTGGGCAGGGTCTCCGCCCCAAACACTGACGGCAGGCTTTTCGGGAGTTCGGAAAGATACAACTCCGCTGCCTTGAAGACGTGGTTGTAGTTCAATTTGTGGTATCTACTCGCCACGGACGCGCGCCGGAAGGAGAGGAGGCTGCTGACAACCGACCCCGGGCTCTTCGGCGCCGCGGTCCATAAGGCGAATTCGCAGGGATAACCTTTCTGGGACGCCTCCCCCCCAAAAAACCTCTTGGCGGCCTGGTGGCCCTTCGCCCTCCCCAAAAACCCGCGCGGCGGCTGAGGAGGAGGGGAGGGGCCATCCTCTGTCGCGAAGTCGGTGGTCGTGCCGGGCCACAGGTCGGGCTGGGCTGCCCCCTCGCCCGGGTCGCCGACGTCGGGGAGGGCGGCCCGCCTCGCCCGGAGCGTCCGTCGCCGCGAAAAACGGGAGCCCGGGGGGTCCTCCCCCCCTCCCTCCCCCAGCGGAGTATCAACACTATTACTATCACCTCTACTATGAATGGTAGTAACAGTGTCAACACC